TGGGGCCCGCGCGCGCCCCGAGCCCCTGCCTGCTCCTGCGCTACCCCGAGTCAGCGTCCCGCGCTCGCCCCAACGGGACCCGGCCCTGCACGCGCGGCTGGTACTACACGCTGCCCGCCGCCGGCCTGCTGCGCAGCCCGGTCACCCAGGTGCGCGTCCGAGCCGCGGAGGAGCGTCGCACGGGCTGGGTCCCCGGCGCTCCGCCTTCCACCCAGCCCCCCACCCCGCCTCCTCTGTCCTCTCTGTCCCTACATTTCTCCGTCTCCCGCTTTTAAACCAAACCGCCCCCCGCGCCCAAATCTCTGTGCCCCGTCCTCTGCTCCCCCTTTCCTCTGTCCCCACCTCCTTCTTCCCCCTTGTCTTCTGCCCTTGGTCTGCTGGGGCTGTCATGCCGGGCTCTTAGTTGGGGGTCAGATGATGCAGCAGATGCCCGAGTAGACGGGGGCCGGGGCGTAATGGCAGAACCCGCTGCCCGAGGTCTGCCAGTGTGGGCGGGCAGCCTGGAGGAAGAGGAGTTCAGCTGAAGGTATGAGCACATAAGCGCCAGGTGGTCCGCGGTACGTGGCACTTCAGTGCCACCAACGTTTTGAGTAAGCTGTGGCTTTGGGCCGTGTAGGTGTCGAAATTGGGTTTCCAAGACAGGAGGTTTTGAATCAAGGTAGCCACACAGAGATAGCAAACCTTCCCGCTGACGTGCAAACAAGCTGGACGGGGGGCGGGGGCAACTCAGGGGTCTGGGTGGGAAGAGATGGGGAAGGGGCAGGTGGAACCTCCCAGGCCCCTCGTCCTCTCCTTCGTCCCTCAGGCTAGGACCTGCCCAACTCTGCCTCCCTCTTGGCCTGGGCCCCGCAGCCCTGACTGTCCCTGGGTGGATTGGCCCCGGTGTGGAAACTGGGACAGGGTTGCCACATCCCTGCCTGGAGCCCTGAAACTGGCTGGGCTTCTCCTCCGTCCCATTCTGTTCCCCGTCGCACCTGCCCTTTTGTTGGGGTACTGATCAATCATCCCCCTCCCCCCAGCTTTCGTGAACGTTTGGTTTTTAAACTAAAAACTCTGATGTAGTGTGACCCAAAACAGTATGTTAGGTCTGAGGAGAAGGCGCGGACACCTGGAAGGAGAGGTGGGGAAGGGCAAAACTGAGGTCAAGGGCCCTTGTCCGGGAAGAGCGGGTAAGACCAGCTCTCCAGCCTGTTCCCGGAGTCACTCTTCAAATGAGCAGGGCAGGGGGGAAGTGAGGGCGCGGCCCTTGGCACAGCGGTAGGCCAATCAAGAGTCACCTGTGGTGGGACAGCAATGGCTGCCCAGAGGTGAGTGGGACTACCTACCCAGAAAAACTAGAAAACAGACGTGGGGCTCCAGGTGGGGCCTCAGACCAGGAAATGTTCAAATCCCAGCGGAAGACTACCAGAGTCAGGAGAGTACGCTGTGTGACCTTGAGCGAGACATCTAGGGCCCTTGGCAGCCTGACACTCTGGGAACTCCAGCACAGGGGAGGGTGGACCTGGCCAGCCCACAGGTGATTGGTGTCCCCCGTAGTGGAACCTCGTGTGTGAGGACGGCTGGAAGGTGCCTCTGGAGCAGATGGGCCACCTCCTGGGCTGGCTGCTGGGCTGTGTCCTCCTGGGCGCAGGCTGTGACTGGTGAGGTGCTGGCCCTTTCCCTTCTGCCCCAGGAGCCCTACCTTCAAGCCCTTCGGGGTCTAGCTAGATCCCCAAGTTGTCCTGGCTCTCAGCCACATGTGTCCCCTGCCGCCCCCCCCCCCAGGTTTGGACGTCGGGCTGTGTTTGTGGCCTCCCTGGTGCTGGCCACGGGCCTGGGGGCCAGTGAGGCCCTGGCGGCCAGCTTTCCTGCCCTGCTGGCTCTGAGGCTGCTTCATGGGGGGGCCTTGGCAGGCTTTTCCCTGGCCCTCTACGTGGCTCGTGAGTACCGTGGGGTGCTTGCGGGGAGCACCCCTTCCAGCAAGGCCTCCCACCCGGCTGCAGGGCCGAGTCAGGTGGCACGGGAGGCCTCTCTGGCACTCCCATTGAGGGCCCTTCTGGTGAAGGCGGGAGGGGCACTCTGTTCTGTGAGCTGTGCTGTTGGTGGGAAGGTCCGGGAGCTGAAGGAGGCAGTGGGTGGCCTCGGACATGGTAGGCTAGTCACTGGTCCCCCACAGCCCTGGACAGAGCAGCTGTCCCAAGAGGCCTTGGTCTCAGGCTGTTTCTGCTTAGGCCTGGAGCTGTGCGACCCCCCCCACCGCCTGGTGTTCTCCGTGGCAGCTGGCCTCTTCTCGGTGCTGGGCACCGTGCTGCTGCCCGGCCTGGCCCTGCTCGCGCAGGACTGGCGCCTTCTGCAGGGGCTGAGCGCCCTGGTCACGGGGTTTTTGCTGCTCTTTTGGGGGTAAGTGTGGTGGTAGAATGCTCAGTAACAGCGGTTGAGGCTGCGTGTGTCACTTCCCTCCATGCACGTGGGAATGGGACGGGGACCCTGGCAGCCAAGGCATGTCCTCTCCCCCTGGGTCCTGGGCGGGGGCATTGGCCTCGGTCATCCCTACAGAGAGGACCCGGGGGCATCCTCACCCTGTCCTTGCAGGTTCCCCTCCCTGTTCCCTGAGTCTCCCCGGTGGCTGCTAGCCACGGGACAGCCAGCCCGAGCCAGGAAGATCCTGTGGCACTTTGTGGAAGCTGGGGGCGCGGACCCCGAGGACAGCTCAAAGGAGGAGAGCGCCCTCGCTACGGGTAATGCACCAGCCAGGAGAAGGGAGATATGGGTGCTAGGGAAGGGAGGAGAAGGGTCAGCCCCTCATCTGTGCCCCCTCCTATCCCCGGAGCCACAGAACTGGACACGCTGGGTGCAGGGAGCCCCCAGCCCCAGTACCACTCCATCCTGGAGCTCCGGAACACCAGCATCGCCTGGAGAAATGGACTCATCCTGGGCTTCAGTTCGTGAGGAGGGGAGGGCGTGGGCGGGCTGTCTGAGCCTTCCTCCCAGGGTGGGTCTTTGGTTGCTGGAGTCCCCTGTCCTGGTTGGGCCATAGCTCCCCCCTCCCTGCCTCCCTCCCTCCCAGACTGATCTGCGGGGGCATCAGAGCCAGCTTCCTCCGCAGCCTGACCCCGAGTGAGCCCGCCTTCTACCAGCTCTACTTCCTGGGCGCTGGCCTGGAGTTCGTAGCCACTGTGTTCCTGCTGCTGACGGGGGATCGCTGGGGACGACGCCCAGTCCTCTTGCTGGGCACCCTGGTCATGGGCCTGGCGTCCCTACTGCTTCTTGCCGGGACCCAGTGTGAGTGTGGAGTCCTTGTGTTTGGCTGAGGGTCTGACTGATGTGGGGCACTGGGATCAGCCCCCCTCCTGGGCCCACAAGCGAGAGGCACAGGTGTTGGGATGAAGCTGTGCCTTTTACCTAATCCATGTCCCCGCTGTGTAGCGAAACTGACACCCGAAGGATCCTACGGGAAGGGGCTCAATATAAGGATCTGGTTCAAGTAGGGGCGGCCGGGAGCACCCGACACCCCCCGCCCAGCACAGGGTGCAGTGGCGTGGTGAGAGGCTGGGAGGCCAGGCCCCATGGGCAGTATGGGAGCCTTCTCCCCGTCCCCAGACCTGCCAGAATGGACCATGTGGTCCCTCTCTGTCCTGGGTCTCCTGGCCTCCCAGGCCGTGTCGGCTCTCAGCAGCCTCTTCGCAGCAGAGGTATTGCCCACCGTGACCAGGTGAGGCCACACCCCAGCCTTCCCAGCCCCGCCCACCCTCCCATCCTCCCTACCCAGGCTTCAGACCGGCCCTTCCCAGGGGGCTTGGGGGACACTGGTCACAGAAGGGAGTGGGGGGTGGGCAGAGTTGAGGCAGCCCCCAGAGAGGACAGAATCCCAGGGGGAAAGCCGGTTTCTCATTTCCCTAATGAAAAGAACAAAACTTGTTCCAGGATGGGGAAGAGAACCTTTTTCCACAAAAACTTTTGAGTTTGGTTTTCCTGGAGCCCCCACGCTGTGCCCCGCCCCCTCCCGTCTCCCCGGCTACCCCCACTCCCCCCCAACACCAGGCCCTCTCCCGCAGGGGGGCCGGCCTGGGCCTCGTGCTGGGGGCCGGCTTCCTGGGCCAGGCGGCCGCCCCCCTGGCCGACCTGCACGGCCGGCGTGGCTTCTTCCTGCACCACGTGGTCTTCGCCTCCTTCGCCATCCTGGCCCTGCTGTGCGTCCTGCTGCTGCCGGAGAGCCGGGGCCGCGGGCTGCCCGCGTCGGTGCAGGACGCCGACCGCCTGTGCCGGTCCCCACTCCGCGGGGGCCGCCTCCGCCCGGACCACCTGCCGCTGCTGCCGCCCACCCCCCGTCCGCAGTAGCGGGGCCAGGAGGGCTGGCCGCAGCTCCCTCGGGTGGCTGCGGGCCGGTGCAGCGGGGCTGCGGGCGGAGTCGTCCCCCGCCCCCCCCGTGCTGGGGCCCCCGCTGCTCGCACCCCCGCCCCCCAGGATAAAGACATCCATGCAACTTGGTGTCCTCACTGCTGCTTCCCGCAGGCCGCACCCCCGGGGCCCACCGGCTCCGTGTAGCTCACTACCGCCTACAGCCCCTCGCACCATGCCCACGCCCTGGGGGACAGCGGGAGGCTGGGGGGCAGCCCAGTGCCGCAGACAGGAGCGGGTGGAACTGGGCTCTGCAGGTCATTGCGCGCCCGCCATGGAGAGAAGAGCACGTTTTTAATTCTGGGGAGGGAGGGCTACTTCCTTTCACAGAGATGAGGTCCGAGTAAGTGGGGGGCGACTGAGAGCCGGGTTGTCTGGTTCTCCTTTCCGATGCGATCCGGCGCTCCAGGCTGTGGGCCCCCTGGACTCGGGTCTCTCCAGGAGAAGCAGGCTGCACAAGGGCCTCAGGGACGGAGCCCAGTACCCTCTGGCCGCCTCTGCAGAGGTCAGCTGGCCCTCACAGCTGCGCACCAGGCCCTTGAGGTCAGGCTGCCTGTCCTGGGAAGGACGTCTGCCCTCCGTGTCTGGGGTCTGATCAGAAAACCCGCTGCCCTGTCCCTCGGTCTGGCCCTCACGGGGGTCCGTACAGGTCAGCCAGCCGGGCGAAGCGGGGGCCCCAGTCCCGGAGGCAGCTGTAGTCTTGGTCCTCGTCCCCCAGGCTGGACAGGATGGAGCTCAGCGTTCCTGCCACAGAACCATCCCCCTCGTAGTCATAGATGAGAGCTGTGTCGTAGGGTGGGACGCTGGGGTCACTGTCTGCCACCTCCAAGCCCTGCAGAGAGGCCCCGGGAGCTCAGGACCCCTGCACACTCCAACCCCGGGTGCCCTCCACCACCCAGGCTGCAGCACAGGGCAAGCTAGCCCGAGGCATAGACACTGGGGGGGGGGGCGGAGGATGGGCAGAGGAGGCCAGAGGGACACAGCCCCAAGCACACAAGAGCTAGGAGCCCCTGCCCAGGATGTGAAGAGACATTTCCCTCTGGGTGGCTCTTCTTCCTTAGGGCTGGGATACTCGAGACTCCCTGACGTCCCACCTAGGAGACCACCTGCTTTCTCCCTTTTAAAAATTTTGCAAATGGTTCTGTCACCTCCATCTCTGCCCTGTCACCCACGGGGTCACACACCCTCCTAGCTGTGACCTGCACCTGGGCTTGTTTCTGCCCAGGCATCTGTCGGAGTGTTTCTCTGACCGGGGGCACTTCCTGTGCCAGCAGGCGTGGCACGTGGTAGAGTAGTGGGAGGTGCCCTTGTGTTCTCCCTCAGCCCCCCAACTGGGTTCCCGTGTTCTGGGCATCTCCTGCAGGAACCCACTGATGCTGTGTCCACATAAACTACCCGGGTGCCTGGATTCCGGGGACAGCTGCACTCCCAGCCCCGGGAGCACACCCACTTTTCTCTGTCGGTGCCCAATGGAAAGTGCTCCAGAGCAAGCCCCAACCCACCCAAGCTCAACCACGCCCACCAGTATCCCCCAGGGGCTGGTCAGCTTCCTTTTCCCACAGGACTTTTGTGGCTGTGGTCCTCCAGGGGCACCTACGTCATTGATGAAGTCAGCGATATCGGCAGGGCTGGTGGGCAGCATGCGGGGTGGCTGGGGGCGCACTCGGCTGAACGGGGCATCTCGGCGCAGTGGCGGCCGTCCCAGGGGGGAGCGCAGGGCTGCCAGCTCTGTTGGGTGGCGCAGCTGGTTGATGTCATAGGCATCCTGGGGACGAAGTAGGCGGAATTCAGCCCTGATCAATCACAGGATGGGGTTTCCCTCCCAGCCACCTTGTGCGGGGCGTGCCTGGGGGCGAGGACCTATGAGGACTTGCTGGCCAGCTGGGGCCCCGCCCCTCCACCTGGAAAGGGGGAGGAGGGAGGGTTGGGGGGATGCTGGGTGGGGGCCCACAGCCTCGGCTCCTCAGGGACCCTCCCCACCACTTAACATTTCTAACCCACCACATCCCCCAACGCCCTCCCTCACCTGGTCCTCCTCTCCGCCCCCCTGCTCATCGTAGTTGAGGATGTTGTCCCGGAGGTCGTCGTGCAGCCCGTGCAGAAGTCCCTTGTCCCCGGACTGCTGCCGGGACCGCGTGACGAGGGCCACTGGCAGGGCAAGCACTGAGTGGGGAGGAGGGAGAGCAGACAGGAGGCGGTGGGTGCCTGGCCCTCAAGCCAAGGCTGGACTGACGTCGGGCGGGGGG